GGGGTTGTTGTAAATGTAGTACTGCGTAGTACTCCGTGTAGGTTTCCAATGACATATTGCTGGTTGAATTCAAATACAAATTCGGCTCTACTACACGAATATTTCCGAATAATCTTCAACATAATCTTGGTACTATATACCCACTATTTAGTGTGGTATTGGACATCAACACTCCATACGGAATACAACCTGTTCTAATTGTTCAAGTTTGGCTCGGCTCCAATACGCTGCCAAGCCCCTTATCATTCAGATTGAAGGGAGCTGCCAATTTAATCACGTGATATGCTTACCAGCCCGGCTCCCACTTCCACCAAGGTTCAACCAACCAACCATCTCTCCTCAGGTCTTCGACGTCGCTCCTCCAGCGTCTTGTCAAACTTCACCCCATTCAGTGAGACTGGCTCTCCGTCTTATTCTTAGCTTCTGTATACTGTATATTTACTTGCTGATGTTTTGTTGGTTAATCCCTTGGCTCCCGGGACTTCGAATTCGGAGATTTTGTCTCTGACCTTTTGTTGAGACCGTGTCCAAACTGCTCCGGCTTATGGTCGTTATCTCAGGAATTTGCCAATTGCTGGTGGATTCGATATTTTTGAGTGCTGCCCGTTTGTTCTTTTTATTGTTAGTTTTTTACCAAACATTTGTTGGATTGTTGTTTTGTTTCGCTTCGGAATTTATTGTCCTGCTGCAAGTGGTCCTCAGGCCACTCGGCTATCTCGTTCCTCGGTTTGCAAAATCCGTATCTGTCTTTGCTACCCTTGCAATGGTAGAGGATTCCATATTTGGACTTTGACTGTTTGTTGCGCCTATATCTCATGGTTCTCTGAAAACTGGTCTGGGACCCCCTTTTCATCCAGTTAAACCAAAATGGCCTCATACGCCGTGCCCGGCGACAGCCTGCAACCTTTCCACCCACAGCCAGTGCCATCCCTCAACCACAAGCAACGAGGCCAAAAGCATTCTCGAAAAGGAAAGAATCGCCAGAATAACCCCTATACTAGTAATACCCATGGCCCACACAAAAGCTCGCAATCCCAATCATGTTTTAATTGTGGTTCTCTGGAGCATTGGGCCCAGCAATGCCCAGAACCCCGCCGCGAATTTCCCGCGTAAGTTCGAGATGGACTATATTTATAATGCCGTCATGGCTAACGGAGCTCTCTCCAGTGGTAGTACGAAGACTGGTCGCCCGCCCAAAAGACAGAAAACCACAGATTCTCATAACCTCTGCTTTGCAGGCGACCCGCATTTTAACCACCCGCAGAGGCCCCCTCAAAGGGGCTATACTCACCCGCCAGTGGCGCATCCAGGATACCAACCCGTACCAATGGCAAATTCACCATATGTCCCTCCGGAACTGATGTCTACTCACCCCCATTCAGCTGGCCCCTGGCCTCATGAAGCCCCACCTCTACATTATAATTCACCCCAATCGTACGGATTGCCAACTCCCATGAGTGGCTACCCGCCGCAGTTCCCAAGTGCATCCTCTACTATGCCACCCCACCAAGGCTATTTTCCCCCTCATTACCCACCTCGGTATGGAGAGCCCGAACACCATCGTAGATCCTTCGACCGTCATCAACAGAATCTGCCACACGGCGGCAATAATCGTCAGCCAAGGAAAAAATGGCGTCGTTCGGATAATGTGCCCGCAATCGCATCCCCAATAGAACCTTGGATGGAGGAATTACAGTCCCTTGACATCCCAGACAGCAGCCCAAGTCAAGGTCAAATCGGTGCGTATAAACAAGGCTCACAACAATTCTTTTAATCCATGATATATCATCCTCTAAAAATTTATTACAGTCTGGAGGCCAGCTACCCAAGTCGCCCGCCCCCTTCCTTCAACTTTTGATGAACGAGACGATGTGGGAATGCTCCCGCCATTCGCATCGCTGCCCCCTGGCATGTCTGTTTCAAAATACATTCTGGACAAGGGACCGGAAGAGTTTGTAGCTAACATTAGGCACACTGAAGATTGGCCGTTCATGATGTCAGATCCTATTTTCCTGGAGATTTCAATGGAATGTGAACTTATACCGATCGACGAGCTCATAGCCCGCCGCAGGCTGATGTTTGAAACCCACCGTATCGAGCGGCCTCCTTCAGGTGAGACGGCCAAAGACGATACTACAGAGGCCAACGGATATATGGAAGCGAATGAATCCGATGAAGCCAGGGACGAAGATGAATCTTCGGAGCGGGAAGTCTCCATTGTGAATTCCAATGACGACCAACATGATCAAGCCATGAGTGGAATCCAATCCAATGAATGTTCTCCCTCCCCATCCTGCAGCCCAGAGACAGGCTACAGGGATTATATACCCTCTCCTGGGTCACACCGAGCCGATGATAGAGAGTCATTCGAGGAAAGCGCTTCCCCAGAAGGTGCAGAATATCCAAGCTCCCAAATATCGAGGATAGATCGTGGTTATCACGGCTCCCAGGAGCATCAAAGCTCGAAACAAACTCAGTCGTAAGTTTTATTTCATCTCTAACTTGCTTTGCGGGTGCGTTATTTTTTTTCTTACCCTGACTTTTAATTTGAACCCCCAGGATGAAACCTGGCAAAGGTCGTTCCAATGACAAGCGGCGGAATCAAAGCAACCAACGGGATCGAAGGCAGCAGATGGAAGGCTCAAACCGCAAACCCGGTCAGCAAGAAGGAAGGCGCAATGCTCCATCGGATCGCCGAGGAGGTCGAGGCGGTCATTTTAATTTCCAGGATCGACGAAAGCCAAAGCAGCAGCAGTTTAAGGGGACATCTAAGCCAAAACCCAAAAAAGGACTGAATAACCGTGGACACCCGCCAAACCATGGCAATTCTGGACCCCATAATCACAAGAACCGGGATAATAAATTTGGCCTAGACGGTAATACTGACTGTGAGCACATTAACAATCTGCAAGAGCATCTACGTTCCCAAGCCCAAAGTAAAGTTGAACAAATCAAACCACACAATTTCCATGGTATCCATGACCAATTCGATGTTGAACAAAATACTCGCAAGAGAAGCAGGCAAGAGGAATCACCTACTAGGCCTGAGGGGCCCCGACGCCAGGAAGATGACATTACTCCAAAAATAAAGCGACGGCAACCTCACGTCGCTGATGCCTACAGGTATGACATTCGTCAACGATTATTTGGAGTTTTCATATGTGCTAATAATTTTCCAGCCGTCGATGGTGAAATAATCACCTTAAAATGTGTCACTTCATTGGCATTCTAATGCCCTTTTTTCACATGATAACCCATACCCGTTCTCCAAGCAAACGTCATTGCATTCTTTATCTTTCTCTCTTCTCTTTTATTCAGGCCAATGGCCATTTTGATCTATTTTTTAATATATATATTTATATAACAAGTTGGATTGCCTTGCATTCGGGACACTTGCTGCATCCAAATTTCCTTTTTGGATTATAATTCTGCGTCCCTCGTATATATGTTCTGGATACGACCCCTGAGAACGGGGAGGGAATTTTGTTCCAACGCAAGATGTGCTCTTTTTTTATATTTTATTTATTTTTGCGTAGCCACTGGCGGAAGCCTTCTTTATCGGAAATGGGATTGCGTTCTGTCACTAATTTTAACGCTTATTCTTACCCTCACGTCTGTTGGTGGCGTTGTTGTTTTCTCGTGGCTCAAACATATTTTTGTGCTCACTCCGAGTTTGGTATGGCTGCATATTTTTTATTTACTAAACAAGGCCATGTACATGCGCCTACATCAAATCCAGGGAATATTCTATATTCTGAGCTACTGCTGCTACAGCCCAGTGCTTCGGGCAAAGCCTTTTTTCCCTTTTGAAACAGGCTTCACAAAAGTAAAGCAAAAATGACAGAAAAGAAAAGAAAAAAGAAAAAGACAAAAAAGAACATAAAAAGAACTACAATTGCAAAGCCACATCCTTGTGTAAAACGGAAAACCAACTTTTCCTTGGAGAATTATCACCTGGATACATCTTGTTTCAGTTCTTACAAGGCATTCCGACAAGACAAGCCACAGGCGCCCTGCTTCCGTATCGCTCAGCGAGACCAAGCCTACAAGTGCTCTGCTTTTATCGCCTTGTTTTTCACTACTCGTATGGAAACTCTACTGATCGTTTGAACCCTGGAGAATATCCAACGAGTCCACGGCCGGCCAGGCTGGGTGGATTCCCGACCGTAGTGCCGATTTATTCCGCTCAATGTATCCCCCCCCCCCCCCCCCGGCATGGTTTAATGGATGGAACGGCATCTTTAATTGTATTGAATGCATGGATGGGTCAAAATTTACCCTAAATATAGCGATGGATGTTATTTCATTACTCCCGTGGATATGGGTGGCGCGCCACCAACTACCATCACCACGTGAAATGAGTGGGAAGTGCTGCATTGGCGCCGCCGGCCCTTTTACCCCTGTCGTGATCTCGCCCTCTCGACTCGATTTCACACTGGCAATGAGATGGCTCATGTTTCTGAGTGTATTGTCTGGCCCGCAGGAAAAATTAGTCTAAAAAAAACCTAAGAATCGCCCGTGGCCCAAGATAACCTTGATAACTAGGGAACGGCAAAGATGGTGAGAACAGCAGTACACCATATAATTACCAATCTTAGGCGTTTCACTATCATTGCGCACATTATTACAGGGTTGAATACGGGGCTAGCGGAAGAACTAATATATATATATAATGTAGGGAAAGGGCATTCTTCCTGCATTTTGCTTTTCTTGCGAGTTGCCATTTATAGCATCAACAAGCTTGCAGTGAGTAATGAACTAATAGCTGCCTGTCTGGAACCATTTTCTATAGAGTCTTGTCTTAGCCATAATAGTCATAAAAATCCAGTGAATGTCCCTTGCTTGTGTCCCGTGTTCAATGGCTCTGGCATATCTATCTATATGAGGCAACGCCATCTGTAAGATAACCATTCCAAAAAACGTACAAAGGCTTATGAAATGAAAAGGGAAAGAAAATATAATGGATGAAGGAAGTTAAAAAATAAAAGAAGACTCCTTTTAGGTCGTACTGGGAATCGAACCCAGGTCTCCAGAATTGTCTCTGGAAAATCAGAATCTGGCGTGCTAACCGCTACACTATACAACCATGACTAATAAGTAGCCGCCACCAGATGAAGTGCTAATAAATTTTCGTCGCTTGTTTTTTATTTATTATTCCTTAAAAAAATAATTTATGTTATTTCAAAGTTTAAAAACTAGG